ATGCAAATCTGTCTGCTTGGCTGAAATTTTGTCTTGTCTGTTACAGGATCCCAAAGAAAATAAAGAAACTACGAAAGAAGAAGAACCGTCCAAAAGTTCTGGTGCAAGCACAGCTACTAAAACAGAGGAAGAGAAGAAAATCAAAGCACCCAAGAAGCAAAAGCTTGTCCATGAAATCACCATGGAACTGGATGTAAATGATGTGCCTGACCTGTTAGAGGATGAACTGAAGAGCTCAATGAAAAAGTATGTTTTAAATAGCTCTGCGTGGTTAAGGCTCTAGATGAAGGAAGTGAGTTGCTTTGTGACAAAAGGAAGAGAGTTTCAAAACTTACCTCTTACCAGTATTCCCTGTGCAGGAGTGATACCTTTTCTGTTCCCTTAAACTGATTTTCTTTGAGTGAAACATTCCTTCTTTGGTCCTTGATGCCTAATCTGGTTTTAGAGAAACATTACACAAATAGTAAAATTTGTTGTAGTGCTGCTGGATTTCTTTAGTCAGGTGCTCATCTAAAGGCACTTAATACCTTTGATCTCTGCTCTGTTCACATTCTAGACTCCAAGACTTAACAGTCAGAGATCTAGAGAAACAGGAAAGAGAAAAATCAGCCAACAGCTTGGAGTCCTTCATCTTTGAGACCCAGGTAAGACAGGGAAATAAAGAAATGAGAATTCCTGGAACGTGGGTAGAAGTGGCTCATGTAGTTTGGCTTATCTGGATGCAAGGTTCTTTGAGCTGATTTGAAGAGCCCGGCTCTAAACCTTCAGTCACCTTCTCTAACATTAGGCTTCCCAAGCCCATGTGGAATTGAGAGGTTTCCTAAATGCAGAATGAACTTCAGCACATCTTCCGTCCAGCATATAGAAATGCTGGGAGCAGGAGCTCAGATTTGGGAGGGCTGAATGAAAATCTCCTAAGCAATGCATGCAGCATGCCTGGACTTCAGAGTGCATCCCAGTTACTAGTGGGTGAGCTGGTGGCTTTTCCTTTCACACCAAGTGTTGTTTGAAGGGAACGCTTGCTTTGTTCTTTTCAGGACAAGCTTTACCAAGAAGAGTATCAGTTTGTCTCAACGGAGGAGGAGAGAGAAGAAATTTCCAAGAAACTTAGTGAAGCTTCGAATTGGATGGAGGAGGAGGGCTATGCAGCTGCAACTAAGGTATTGCTGTGTGGAGTCGCGATACCTGTCTGCTATAACTGACAAAGAAATCATCGTATGGGCTGACTGAGTATTGAGCCATCTTGAATCTTTATGATCTAGTTCTTGAAAATTTCTTGCTTCCACAGTTCACAGATGTAATGTGTATTAGTTCTTCCAACCATATGAACATGTGGTTGGACACATTCCATTGACCATTCGATGAGTGTGAATGGTCTTCAACAGCCTCAGCAGTAACCTGTTGATTGTGCGTAAAGCTTAGTCACGTGGCTTTTATTTTACTGTATGGAAATAGTGTATTTGATAGAGAACTACAAAACTGCAAGTTTTAACATCTGGGGTTTACAGCGTTCACAAGGGAAAGAGTTAGAGACTGGGCAAGCTGATTGTTTGCTTTCTACTCTCCCCTTTTTGCAGGAGCTGAAAGACAAGCTTGCAGAGCTGAAGAAGCTTTGTAGGAACCTCTTTTTCCGTGTCGAGGAAAGGAGAAAATGGCCAGAACGCCTGGCTGCCCTGGAGAGTCTGCTTAACCACTCAAACATCTTCCTCAAGTAAGAGCAAGCTGTTAGGAATAAGAGTTGTGCAGCTCATAACGTAAGGGATGCCAGCAGAACTTGTCCAGATTGAATCTGTTCTGAAAGTGACTAGTGCTTGTGAGGAAAGGTGGCCAAAACTCAGCTTCCCTAGTGCTTGGTTCTGTAAAACACGTTAACAGAACCATGCAAACTGTTTAAACTGGAAGAATAGGAAGTGTCCAATGTTGTACAGACTGTTTCCAAGCAAACTTTTCTTTTCCCTCTTGGTTCTATGGCCTCAGCTTTTTGAGTCTTCCCTGTTCTTCTGTTGTGACAGTTGCATTTGCTGACCGTGTATTCCATTCCTAACACCCAGAGATAGATTTAGGACTCTTTGTTTCCTGCAGGAAGTGTTAGTACATTTTACACTTGTCTTTCTAATTTGGTATGTGCAGTGACTATTTATTACTGGTTTTTACTGGTAGTGTGAACTCCGAGTTGCCAATGTACAGTCTGTTTGGTTAAACAAAAATGAACTTTCTTTTTGTCTTTAAGGGGAGCCCGCATGATTCCAGAGTCTGACCAGATATTCACGGAAGTGGAACTGGGTACGCTGGAAAAAGCAATCAATGAAACAATGGTAAATGGGTTGTGCTTCCCGTTTCAAGAAGTAGCTTCTGTACATTCACCCAAAGTCAGGGCGTAGAGCATGCATGTCTTGTTTCCATGCCACTAGCAAACATGTGTTTCAGTGTTTTCTAATCCTCTGTGTGACCCCAGAAAGCTCTAGGGGAATGTTTTTTGTGTTAAGTGTGGACAGTTATCTCCAAGAGTGGTGGTATAGCCCAGTAACCTGGCTACATGGTTTTCAGAAGCAGCCAGTGGGTTTTGAGATTTCTGTTTCTTTTTGTCCTTTGTCTGTGTAACTAAGAAACTTGTAGAAATGCAACACTGAACAGTGTTATCCTGAGCAATGTTAGAACACTCAGGAGTGGTGACTGAGATTGTGATACATGGTAGTTCCTGGAACCAAGAAACATCCAAAAAGCACCTTTCCCCTCCCTCCCCATAGATGTGGAAAAATGAGACACTGGCTGAACAGAAAAAGCTGTCTCCTGCTGAGAAACCTGTCCTGCTGTCCAAAGATATAGAGCTCAAGATAGCAGCCTTGGACAGGGAAGTGCAGTATCTTCTGAACAAGGCCAAGTTTGCAAAACCCAAATCTAAAAAGGAGAAGAATGCCACAAAACCTGATTCAGGCAAGAATGCTACAGCAACCTCTGAGAGTGAGAGCACTATCCCTCCCACGGAGGGGAAGCAAGAAGGTAAGGAGTGGGTGGGAAGTGTGGCCTTACTATTAGATAATTGCCAGATAGTAACACATTTTTAAAAGGGAGCTAAATATGTGAAGACACCGGTTAACTGACAAATCAAATGATCCTCCTAATTCTCAAAGATTGTTGAGACAGTCTAGGTATGACAGTCGTGGGCTGTTATTTTTTTTTCCCTCCCCACCCCTCTGTTTCTGCCAGCTTTCTGGGAAGGAAGATTTATGTACTACCTAGGATACATCTTCCTATTTAGCATCTACCTCTTTGTCTGTCTGCCTTGTAAGAAAGATAAGCCACCGGTTGCCTTCTGGATGTCTAGAAAAAATATTCATGGTTGTGTCCTACATCAAGAAATGGATTGAGCTGTTGATGAGAGAGGTTTGTAGCTTAGGTGGGCCCCAAAAAAACATCTGCCTGGGACACTAAAGCTTCTTGTTTTTGGAATTATTTTTTTTTAAAGATCCTCAGGTTCCGAGTATCCCATTCCTTTAAAACTTAGATTGCTGTTTGTCAGCAGAGTTGCCTGCTGGTTCCTCTTAGAGTCAGAGTGAATTACTGGAGTCCTGCTGAGACACCATGGCCGACCTGTTTGTAAACCTCACTTGCTGCTGGTCACCTAATCTCCCCACATCTAATCTCTGTGTATTTTCCCTTAACTTCTGTGCTCTTTCTGCTTTATATAGATAAACCTGAGGATATCAGTCCAGCCGAGGAACCTCCTACGGCTGAGAAAGCACCAGGTGATGAGCCTCAATCAGACTCCGGTGGGTATATGTTTGATCAGTGGTCTAGAACTTGATACCTACGATTGCAGGCTTTTTTCATCCTAAAAGGATGTGGGACGTAGCAATATGCTGAAAATCCTGATTATGGAGCAGTTCTTAATTCTGCAAAGAGGAAGGTGAAAATTTTGGGTTTCTCACAGTGTCAAATGCTCATTGTTCAGTGTGAGGTTACAGTGTACCACTGCCTCAGCAGCTGATTTCTGCCTCTGGCACAACAGTTCATAGCCAGTTCCTTAGGAGTAAGCCTGTCTTTCTGAAGCTCTCTAGGAACTGATCTGCAGGTGCATGTTTTTCTGACAGTAGTATTGTGAAGACACCAATATTCAACAGGTGGATGGCAGTAAGGTCTTCAACTCTTTGGAGCTGAATATCAGTTCCCAAAGCGTTTGTCTGGTGTATGTAAATAGATCAAGAGTTCAGTGGAATACTTAATGAATGTCAGTGACTTTCAGTGCTGCCTTGTGTGCCCTAAAAGCTGTTACAGTGTGTAACTGTGTGTTTATTTCTTTACACAGGGTCCAAAACAGAGAAGAAACCAGAAGCTGGAGGAGAAAGCAGAAAAAATGATGAGTTATAACACCCCTGAAATCCCACTGGTGTCAGCATCTATTTATTTCATTGTTACTTTCTTTTTTTTTTTTTTTAATGGACCTAGTTAGTTATGATGTAAATGGAACACAACAGTCTGACAACAAAATGGAAGAGAGATGTAAATTTTTTTTCTTTCTGGGGAATTTTCTGCTACTAACTTAGCGAATTTGGGTGTTTATTTTTTTTGTTGTTCTTACATGTTTAAAGGTGGCCGTGTGCTCACCAAGAATTGTCTCAGTTTCAGGACAGAAGTCACCAAAATGACCTTTCTGTAGAGAGAATACGGTTTAAGGAAGGTTTTAAGCCTTAGGAAGTAACTTGGAACATATGCTCTGTGCCACACCTCACCTGGTGAAGATAGATGGGATTAATCCAGAAGCGTATGTTGCTGAGATGGTGTTGCATTAGCAACTGAGGTCCAAACTTAAGGAAATTGTGTGATTTCAGCTGCTGGGAAGTGTATTCTCATTCGGATTCATATGAGAAACTGGAACAGAAGTGGGGAGGCAGATGCTCTGTGCTTCAAGATAAGAGGGTGTTTGCTTCCATCGACTGTTATTAAAAACATCTCTATCTGTGCTCTGTAGCAGAGTCTGAAAGCAGTGAAGTGAGACTTAATGAAAGGATTCAGTTTATTGTTTACTGTAAAATAAAAATTCAGAAATTGCGAGATTGAACGCACAGGAGACTGAACGAATGTGTTAGTGCATCTTTTAGTCAGAACAACAACCAGTAGTTGACCAGAGAGGTGGCACAGGGCTAGGCAAAAACAAAAGCAACCTGGCCAATTTACGCTAACTATCCTCCTCCTTCGGTATCTCGTGTACTCGGCCTGGCTCCATTGTGAAAATCCATGTCCTTGGCTGTGGTCTCCTAACTCCTCGGGACTGTTCATGCTGCTAAAACACACGGGCGGGGGTCTCCGCCTCGCGCCGCCACTTGTGAACGTGCATCTGCTGTTGTTCTCCATCGGCCTTTTCGACCAAAAATAAAAACGGCACTTCCAGACGGTCTCTTAACGAGGGCTGTGGTTGCTGTGGAGAAAAAAAAAAAAAAAAAGAGAGAAAGATGAGGGAATTTGTGACGATTTCAGCGTTCCTTAAGCCGTGGCGGGGGTGGGCGGGCAGCGGGGCGCGGCCTGCGCCGACCTTCGGCCGGTGCCGGAGTCCGCGCTCGGCGGGGGGAACGGGGACCGGGACCGGGGGCCGTGAGGGGCAGCGGGGGCGGAACGGGGCCGTGGTTGTGGCTCGGGAGCCGCTTCCCCGGGCTCCCCGGGCCGCTGTGGTGGCGGGGCCGGGCCGCCGAGCGCTCCGCCCCGGCCTGCAGCGCCCCGGCAGCGCGGCGGGATGGCGGGCGGCGGCTACGGGCGCTACCGGGCCCTCATCTTCACGGCCATGTTCGTGGGCTACACGCTCTACTACTTCAACCGCAAAACCTTCTCCTTCGTCATGCCCGCCGTCATGGCCGAGGTGCCTCTGGGCAAGGACGAGCTGGGTGAGTGCCCGGGGGTGGTGGGGGCTGCGGGGTTGCCGTTGTGCTGGGTTTTGTGGCGAGCCGCTGGGTCTCGCTCTGTGTCTCGCTTCAGGGCTCATCACCAGCAGCCAGTCCGCAGCCTACGCCATCAGTAAGTTTGTCAGCGGAGTCCTGTCCGACAGCCTGAGCGCCCGCTGGCTCTTCTCGTCCGGCCTCTTGCTGGTGGGTCTGGTCAACGTGCTCTTCTCCTGGAGCTCCTCCGTGGCCGCCTTCGCCGGGCTCTGGTTTCTCAACGGGCTGGCTCAGGGGCTCGGCTGGCCGCCCTGCGGGAAGATCCTGCGGAAGGTGAGTGCCCAAAAACAGCCAAAGTGTCACAAGCTCTGCCCACGGGGCCGCTGCAGGTGTCACAGGAACCGCTGGGGATTCGGGACCCACGCCTGTTCCTGCCTCCTTCGAGCCAAGGAGGTCGAAACCACCTCCAGCTGTTGCTTTCTGCGGGCAAGGTTCTGTGCATGAGATCCTTTTTTATTTTTCTTAAAGAGTTTGTTAGTCCTATCCCATAGGCGTCTCAGCTCAAACTGAGTTTGATGCCCAGTGTCCACTGGTAGCAGACTTTCCCCGTTATAGAAAATGCACTATTTGTTGGGACTGAGTATTTAAAGCATGAAAATGGGGCTCTCCTCATCACTTTGTTGTTCCCTGCTGGGCAAGGGAGTGATAAGCAGTACTGCCTCTGTACTCCCAGTGAGCTTGGGCATTGCACACTGCAGCCTGTGCAGGTAGAACAGCAGGTGGAGAAGCAACAGGATGAGTCAAGCCTCTAAGCTGCGTGCATTTGTTTTTTCTGATAATCTGATTGGAACACGTTTTCTGCTTTATGGAGGGGAAGGGGTTTAGGTAGCTCTGTGCACAAACCTTGGCACTTCTGAATTCTGCTAGGAGCACTCAGGTTTAGTGGAAGCAGAGAAAGTGATGCAAATGAAAGATCTGTGTACTTTCCATCCTACTTAGAAATTTCCTTGTGATCTGGTAATGTGAATGCAAGATTTTTAGAAATAAATATAATCCTGGCATGCACATACTTGTGGGAAAGGGGGTGATGAACAACTGTGTGCCCCTTCTATGTGGCATCTAACTCTAGCAAGCTAGAGGAGCTGGCAAGAAAAGGACTGTCAGAGATGGTTGTGTACACAGGATGGAAGCTCTTGAATGATGGAAACACACGTAGTATTTTCTGAAGGTGTTTGTGAATGTAGATCCCAGGCGTTTTCTTGTCGACAACAACCATCCAAATGGTTCTGGCTCTGAGGGCACAGCGCAGTGAAGAACTGATCGTGCCTAATACTTAATGCAACAGCAAGTCCTTAAGTTACCCTGCAACTCTCTGCTTATTTATTTGTGGTACTGTGCCAGCAGACATTGCCAGGAGGACGCTGCTCCTATCAAGTGAGTATGCAGAACCGTGCTCTCTCTTCCATCCCATGTCTCAGTTTCATGGAAATGGAAATAATCCCGAGCTGGCTCATGGTACGAACACCTGTCAAGCTCCTATGACTGACACTCGTGTAACATTTGGAGTTTTCTGCATGGCTAAGGTAGAGAAGAGTTGGCTCTCACTTTATTTGGTGCTGTAGACCTGTGTTCGACTTTCCCAGAACCCTCGTTATGGGCCTTTATTGCAGATTTTCAGATGCAACAGTCGTGTTCATGATATTCTTTCTCAGACCTTACACCATTTTTTTTGTTGCACAGTGGTTTGAGCCTTCCCAGTTTGGGACTTGGTGGGCAATCCTGTCTACAAGCATGAACTTGGCTGGAGGCTTAGGCCCCATTGTTGCTGCTCTTGTGTCTCTCCACTACGATTGGCGCATGACTTTGTCCTTCTCTGGCTTCATCTGCGTGGTTGTCTCTTTTGTTTGCCTTGTCCTGATTAAAAATGAGCCAGCGGATGTTGGGCTACCCAACATTGAACAAGGACCCAAGAAAGGGAAGAAAGGTGAGCATGAGACTTTGTTGTAAGCGTGCAGCCGCGTGAGATGGTGCAGTACCTGCTGTCTGTGTTCTGGTACGAGTATGTCGTGCTCAGTGCATCGAGCTCTCAGACCTTTCTTCCTGAAGTTACTGCTCAGCAGGATACGTGTAAGGGATTGTGTTCAGCAGCTTTATTCTGAGCTGTTGTTTTTAGTTAGAAATCATACATAAAATAAAAACGTGTGTGTGCTTTAGTTTCTTTTATATATATATATATTTACATATATATATATAAAAATAACATGGTTTGTAACTAACTAAACTAAACATGGTTTGTAACTATATATATTTACATGTATATATATATAAAATAACATGGTTTGTAACTAAAACACAAAAAGATACATATATATATTGGAAAAAACAAACAAACAAACATACAGCAGACTACAGTTTGTAGAGGGGGGCCTGTATTTGGGCTTCTGAAACTGTCCAAGTGCCATGCAGCAGAGCAGAGGAGGAGTCTGCCCCCCAGTTTGTTCTGTTCTTCGCTCTACCAGTGCCAGAGCTGTTGCCGAGATGCTGATGGCCGTTTCATCTCCCTGCCTGTATTAAGCCCTCATACTAAGAGTACCCCCCTGGTTTTCTTGGGGCCAAATATTCTGGGGCTCATGCAGCACTTGCTGCGGGCTGAATGTTCTGGGGGGTACTGGACAGAGAGGAAAAAGGTAGCAGCAAGCAGGGGCTCCTTAAGCCTTTCTCCTGTGTTGTCAGAGGACAAGTAGTTCTCCCCTCACCCCTCCATGGGTTCTCTTGACCCCTGACTTGTGGTGGACTCTGCTCAGTGTTTTTTGTCCTAACCTAGGACATCTGGTTAGTAAATGTTTGTTCAGACCACTGAGTATGATGCTTCTCTGAAAGCAGAACAGGTAGAGGAGAATTGCAACACAGGTTTGCTGTAGAATTTTAAAGGTTCGTGGAAACTCATCCTATTGTCCGTACTGCCTTGTGATGTCCGTGCTGTTAGACTGCACCTCTTGGTGTGAGAAAACAGTATTGCTTCCCCTGAGTGGTCTCTGGGGAGAGAGTGGTGTTGTAGGTGTTTTGGGAAGACTTGATGCAAAAATCAAGGTACAACTTACAAGTCAGCATCATCCCTTCGGTATAAGTAGTGTCTTCCGTACGCTGTGCTTGAAATTGTTTGCAAAAAATCTGGAAAAACATTTATTTTTAATTATTGTTGTTTAAAGATTCACAATCTTCCTGTCTTTACTGGCAATCGTAACACAGAAAATTCCCGGGGGTAGCATTTTGATTATGTTTTTGAAATCTGTAATGAATATGGCATAAATTGACAGAGAAGATTCTGTAATCACTGCAGAACCAGGACAAGGGGAAGGTGAAGCCATTCACTAGCAGTTGCGTTGAGTATCTTCCCCTTTAAGGATGTTCTCATGCATGAATCTTGCTTGCACAGTTTTCTGTAGTGCCCCCGTGTCGGTGTGGCTCAGTGGCTGTGCTCCAGTACGAGTAAGGCTCCTCCTGATCTCCCTTACAGGTTCTTCTAGCGAAAACAGCACTTTGACAGAGCTGCTCCTCTCGCCGTACCTCTGGGTGCTCTCAACAGGCTACCTGGTCGTTTTTGGAGTGAAAACATGCTGCACTGACTGGGGACAGCTCTTCCTGATCCAGGAGAGGGGACAATCTATGCTTGTGGGTAAGATGCAAAGTTCCATTTTTAAATTTTAATTCCGTTTTAAATTCCATTTTTGCAATTTGGAAAGGGTTGCAGAGAGCTTGACTGGGTACAGCAAAAGGACCCGTGTGCTTCCAGTTGCCTCGTCTGCTTGGACACGTAGGTGTTGAAATAACGCTCTGATAAAAGTTTCTGCGTGTGCTGAATGCCTCAGTGCTGTCTCGTGCCAGGGTCCTGCTGGGACTGGCAGCCTGGGGGTATTCCTGCCCCAGGAAGATCCTGGAGGATCTTGTCCAGCAGAGGTGCCTGAAACTCGCAGTGAGCGTGGTCTGAAGCACAGCAGCTCTGCGGTTGTGACCAAACCTGACAGTGTTCTTTGCTTCTCCTGTGTTCTAGGTAGTTCCTACATGAGTGCCTTGGAGATCGGGGGCCTGGTGGGGAGCATTGCTGCTGGATACCTCTCTGACAGAGCAGTAGCAAGAGTAAGTCACCTGGACCCTGGGATGTGCTGGGCAGTTAACCTAGTGCCAATTTCAGCGTCTTCAGAATTTTGGGAAATGTGTGTGCCAGTATTATTAGGGATCATAATGTGATGGGAGATTTAAGATGTTTCATCTGTTTTAGTTACTTTTTTTTTCTGTAAACTCCAAATTTCCATGTTGAATGACAGATGGGGTTGCTGACAGTTGTCTTCTGTCTGGAAGAAATAATTAAAACCCAGCAGTGGGATCTGAAGTCAAATTTAGGGTAGAAAGAGGGCACAACCGACAGCAGAGAAGTATCATGCATCGCTGTAAGAGCTTCCTGTTTAGTTTAGTGGATTCTTCTTAAACCAAAATCAGAAGTCTCACTACAAGATGTGCTTTTGATGTGCCACCTGTGTTTCAGACTGGTCTGTGTGGATGGCATTAGCCACTACGAATATAAATTGGAAAGAGTCCTTGCAGGCTCTGACTCTGTTTTTGTTCCCGTGTTACAGGTCGGTCTGTCAAACTATGGGAATCCTCGGCACGGGCTACTGCTGTCCATGATGGCAGGGATGTGTGTTTCCATGTTTCTTTTCCGGGTAACAGTCACGGGCGATTCTCCCAAGGTAAGCCGTGCACACGGGCAGGGTTAGTTTTTGGGGGCTTCAAAGGCTGACCAGGTGCTGGTTGGGAGTCAGCGTGGAATGGGAAGCTCCCCTTTCCAAAGGAGTTTGATCTGACTGCCGGTTTGAATTGTAACTAGTTGCTTAAGTTCAATCAAAACTACCTTTGAGTTCTGCACTTGCCTCACTGCTTCAGCCTCTTTAATTCTTTTACTTCTTTATTTTCAAGAAGATTTCCATACCTCTTCTGTCACGTAAAATAGTATCATAACTAAACGGAAATGTTTGTGTGGAGGACAGTGGTTGAGAGGTGTAAACCAGTTACAGATTAAAAAAAATAATTTTGGCAGAGAGTAACTCTGGGCAATTTTTGTCTGTCATAACAATGTGTTATAAGAGCTGCCTCTGCAGGGAAACATCGGGTGATTTTGCTGAGTTGATCAGCAAGAATTCGAACTTAACGTTGCCTACAGCTTTTGATAAATGAAGCTTTGAAGCTTCAGTAGGGAAAAATGTGACAGCATCCTGGAGTCTCAAGCCAGCCTAGAAATAGGAGTCTGGTTAGTAATAATGAATGTGTTTACATTTTGGAAGAGGCGTCTGTCGTGTTGATTCTCAGCATTAAGACTAGCTGGCAGTCTTTCTAAAAAGCATTGTAACTCACACAGTTGTTCTGGGTGCAGTGTGGCTGCCAGGTTTGTTAAGGAAGGGAAGAGTGATACACGTCTGTGTAGGAGACTGCAGGAACAGTGAGCTTGATGAAAAAGCTGCACAGAGAACAGTATCAATTTTATTTCGACTTTAAAATCAAATGCCAAGAAATGATGGATTTGAATTCTGACTATTTGTAAGTGGTGAAGTTTTAATGAGGCAGAAAGTGCACGTAAATTCTAGGAACAGCCTTTTAACGGTGAAGAATTTGATGACAGGAAGCATGACAGTTTTCTTCACCCTTCCCAAGAACTGTCAGTGTGCGTTTTCTTTCTTTGCACTAGAGAGAAATGGGCTAGCACAGTCCATGTTGGACTTCTGCTGCCTAAATTGGCTTGGGTAGTCTGCATTACTGGCTGTAGTGTAGATGTGATTTGCATCTGTTCTAATGACTGCTAAATAACTGAAATTGATTTTCTGCATTTTACTCTTTCCTTCCTCAGGAAAATCACTTCTGGACTGTAGCCTTGCAACCTCTAGCTGATCTTACAGGCCTAAAAGAACATGAGGTTTCTACCTTGCATTTCTTTCTTCCTCTGCCTGTTTCTGCTTTCACTGAAATGCCTTTTTCCAGTCCTGAAAGGTTGGTTAGTACTACAGACCTTAGAACCAGGGCACTGAGAAGATTACTGTAAGTTTTGTAAGAGAAACCTTTCTTATAACCAGTTGACTACACTAACTGACTGTAAAAAGTCTGAATTCAAAACTCTGTTTCAAAAATTTTACGTGAAAAGCTCTGAGGACAGTTAACGGATTATATGAGCATGCTTAGAAGGAGTGATCCTGCTCCTGCAGGTGCTGATCTGCATACATTTGGCAAGTTCTTTTCTAACTCTGTTTCTGTTCCCCACCTGGAAAATAAGATGGTACTTAATCCCTCCTGGGCATCTTGAAATGGCTTTTATTGTTCCTAAAGTATAAAGCATGCTATAATCTTGAGATGGTAGAGTTACTTATCCTTTGTTGTCCTCTCACAAGTAATTAAAAAAACTACCTGGCTCAGAATTTTTCAGTGTAAGCTGACACTGAAGTTGAAACTGTTGGGTTTGGTTTTTCGTTACTGTTTTGCTTTTTCTGTTTGCTATTTTAGTTTCGTAACATAGAAGCTACCAACTAGTGGCTTGTCACAAATTAAGATCCTCTGATCAGTTGCTTGCGTCTAAAACGAGAATGGCTTTTTTTAGTCAGGTGTCTCCTGATTCGTTTTGAAAAGTGAGCTGATTCACAGCTCTCCTCTGTCGTTTCGCAGGCTCGTTGCCCATCTTTCTTCTATGTTCTGGTTCTTTCTTGCAAAGTGGCGCATGTCGTGTACACGGCTTAGGGGCTGAACTGCAGGAGAGGAAATTTCGCACTGGCTAACTCTGGCGTGCTGGAGATGCAGCTGAGCTGTAGGTACATGGGGTCTGTCACCAGCTTGAGCTCTTCTGTCTGCAGGCCAGGGAACTGGTGTCAGCTGCAAAATCTCAAAACCTCTTCCTTTTACTCTGCGTAGAATCTGTGTAGTTACTGACTGACAGTGTAAGATGCAAAGATCCCATTTCTGATCTCGCTTGTTTTGACAGCTGTGGATCCTGACTCTGGGAGCTGTGTTCGGGTTCTCCTCCTACGGGCCGATCGCTCTGTTCGGGGTGATAGCCAACGAAAGTGCCCCTGCCAACCTCTGCGGCACCTCTCATGCCATTGTGGCTCTCATGGCCAATGGTGAGTCACGCACATCTCCCTTTTCCCTGGAGAATGACCAGACGTTTCCTGGTGTATGTGATGGGTTTTGTCATGCACTTTAAGTTCAAACTAGGCCTGAGGAATTTTTAAAACTTCAAAAAAAAAAAAAAGTATCAACAGATAAAATTGAGAAGCTTGAGTGTTGCTACTTCTCTGTTTCTCTTCCTTACAGTTGGAGGCTTTCTGGCCGGACTGCCCTTCAGTACCATTGCCAAACACTACAGCTGGGCCACAGCTTTCTGGGTGGCTGAAATCACCTGCACTGCGAGCACCGTGGCTTTCTTCTTACTGCGGAACATCCGCACCAAAATGGGCCGAATTCCCAGGAAGGCTGACTAAGGATAAACTGCCTGGTGAAAAGGATGCTCCCGTGCTGACACAAATTGTATTTGTTTTTTATTTAACTGGCCTAGGAGTGAGTTTAACTATTGCTGCAACCTACATAAAAACGTGTCAACTTCTCATTTGCTTTCACTGTGCCCTGAAGGCACAAGGTTCCTGCTGATTGCTTTATCCCTTGAGATGTGATAATTCAGCCAGTCCCCACGTGCAGTGATTGCACTGTTGGACCTTTTTACAGCACTGTTGGTGATGCAGGCAGCTTTCACAGCCCGAGCCACTCAACTGAAAGTGCTGTAAAATGCCTGGCTGGCTTCAGGTGCTGTCACGTTTAGTTTTGTTCTCATTGTTGGTCTCAATCATTAACTGTTAATTTAGCCTCCTTGTTCAGGGACACTGATATGCACCTTTTCTACACTCATTCATCCTTTGCAGCTGCTGTAAATGCGGCTGTCTTAGTTGGCTTGGGTTTGAGCTCTCTGCTTTCTGCCCTGGAACTATGACAGACCAGTGAATAATTATTACAGTACAGCTTCACAGCTTTACCCAGTATTTTTTTTTTTTAAAGCTAGGTTGTTGTTATGCTCTGGACAAGTGGATCACTAATGGAGTGCTGCGATGCGATTCTCCTCAGCACTTAGAAACAGGCACGTTTCCAAGAAATGGTTGGTAGTTCAGGGGAAAGCATTTAGAGAAGCTCCTTCTGTTGAACTGATCCTGCCCAGTGTGATTTCTGTGTACAGTGTTAATGATTTGCAAAGCAGCAGCTGCTGCCAAGTCTGATTTGCAGAGTGTGCTCTGCAAGCTGCTAGAAAAACTGACTCTGCAGCAGGCATTGCAACAGCAGCTGCCACTGGCACACATCTTCTGCAGCTGGGTTTTATGATAGCTGCTATTTCTAGTATTGCCTTGTATTTTATCAGTAAAAGATGCGTAGCATAGGATGTTTTCAGGCAAAAACTGCATCTCTTATGGCTGTGGGTAAGGGCTTGAGCTATCTCAGAGAGGCCTGAGCAGGAATATTGCTGACAGCAGGCAGCACTGATCTGTCCAACCCACCACTTTTGGCAATAAATAGACTCAAGTTTTTAACCAGGATTTTGTTGAATATCCTGCATTTCCCCCAGAAAGATGTATTGATCTGGGGGTACTGGAAAAGGGGAGTTCAACTCCTGAAGAACCACACGTACTTTGCTGAACAGCTCGGTTGCAAGAGTAGATGGTCAGTCTTAATTAAAATAATGGAAGCAAATTGCATTTTGTACTTAATTATATGATCTTTTACTATCTGTGAAATAAAAATGGAGCAGTGTCGCAAGGGCTCTGTTTGTCTTCTGAAAAATGGCAAAAGCAGAACCGTCAGAAACAGTTTGTCCTCGTGAGGTGGTCCTGGCACCAGCTGCCCCTTTAACAGAACACAAGGAGCCATCCACCTCTCTAAGGAATGTTTATTACTTTTACACAGAAACCCTTAGCAAAATCATAAGTTAGAACTATACAGGAAAAATACATATATACAAATACAAAATGGAAGGGAACAATTGGCTGCAGTAGGGCCACAGAGCCTACACCACATCTTTCTTACTCAGGGGTAGGGGAGCTGCAAGAGAAGGTTCTGTGGCCCAGAAGTAAACAGTAGTAATAAATTGTTCAAGGTAAATTTTGTGAATGGGCCAGAACGTTATCTTGGCAGATACGAAGCATGTTTGGGAACATGCAGTCTGTGCTGTGGAAGAGGGAGATCTGGGAGAAGAAAAAGGCCCCGCTCGTTAGAGAAAGGAATCTGGGCAACCAGGAACACGTTTTCTACGATCCAGGTCCAAACGATCCAGCTTTCTCTGCTACCTCCAAAGCAAGCTTCAAGTTCTGATCAAACAATTCGCATCTGAAATATTCAAAAGAATAAGAAAAGGGGGGGGAGCCTTTACTTATGGAACAAGCTAAGACAAACAGTATCTCTGCACTGGCTTGGCATCCTTCAAGGAGAGATTCTGTCAGGCAAGAGCCAGCACCTGACTGCTGTTAAGCCTTGGCTTGGTTGTCAAATAAAGATTAAAGCTTCTCCTACAGGTTCTGGCGCTACGTTAGGGTTATACCAAGGGAAGGCATCTCCCATTTCTCCAGAAGAACAGCACTGGACACAGTGCAGCTCAGTGTCACGTACCTGCAGCATGTACCCTGTTTTCCCCCTTCTGTCCCCTCTGTTTGCTTTGCTTGTGAAAGCCCGTGTCAGCACGTGTTCCTGCCCAGGTAGAACTTGAAGAGGCTGTGTCATTAAAAGCGGGCTTCTTCCTTACCTGATTGGCATCTCCAGGGAGTAGAAAGGATTCTTCAGAGCGAAGTCGGAGTAAATCTCATAGATCTTGCGAAGAAGGGCGTCGATCCCAGCTTGCCTGGGGTCAGCCAGCACAACGAATTTGATCCCTGGAGGCACAAGGAGCGGTGTGAGGGAGGTTGAGCCGTGAGGCAGCCCCACGGAGCAGCAGCAGCAGCAGCACACCGGTACCTGTCAGCGTCTGGAAGCAGTGCAGCTTGAAGGTGTCGGTCTCCAGCATCTCGATGCCGGAGCTGCCCACCTCGGGGGAGAGCTGCGAGCCGATGGCGAACAACCTACGGGGGACGGGGATGGGGACAGGGCGCTCAGCACCACCACCCTCCCCACCGCGCCCCCCGGTCCCCCGGCGGCTCACGAGTGGAACATGGAGGCCAGCATCAGCTTCTCGTTGGAGGACAGCCGGTGGCGGCCGAAGCGGATGGACACGGGGTAGTTGGCGGGGTTGCTCAGGAACTCCAGCACGTCCTTACCGTCGGCCGTGAAGCGCCCGTTGACCTCAGCACCGTTGATAGCGAGCACGGCGTGACCCACTGCGGGGAGGGCGGCGTCAGAGGCACCGGACAGGTCCCTCACGGTGCCCTCAGACCCGACCCTGCCCCCTCAGGCTCGGGTCACCCCCTCAGGACCTGCTCTGTGCCCTGAGGCCCAGCTCGGTCCCCTAAGGCCCTGCTCAGTCCCCTCATGCCCGGGTCGCCCCCCTGAGGCCCTGCTCGGTTCCCTGAAGCCCAGGTCGCCCCCTCAGGCCCTGCTCGGTGCCTCTAAGCCTGGCCCGGTCCCCTCAGGCCCTGCTCGGTTCCCTCAGGCCCGGGTCGCCCCCTGAGGCCCAGCTCGGTGCCCTGAAGCCCTGCTCGGCCCCCCCAGGCCCAGCTCAGTCCCCTCAGGCCCGGGTCGCCCCCTCAGGCCCAGCTCGGTCCCCTCAGGCCCATCCCGTTGCCTCAGGCCCGGCCCTTACCTCGGATGCCGTCTCGCTGCCCGAAGGCGACGACGACCCTCTCGTCTCGCGGGCGCAGGACGAGGTCGAGGGGGTAGCTGAAGGTCTTCTCGGTGTCGCTGCGCGGCACGTAGTGGTCCAGCTGGTAGATGAGGCCGCCCGCCTTGTTCACCACGTAGACGCTGAAGATCGCCATGGCGCCGCCCTGCCGCTGCCGAGCCGGAAGTGACGCCGGAAGTGACATCGTCCCCGCCCCTTCCCGCCCCGGCCTCGCGCCCGCCCCCCCCTCGCCTCATCCTTTCGCCGCCGCCATCTTGGGAGCAGCAGCAGCAGCATGGTGAGCGCGGGGGGGGGATCGAGGGGAATTGGGGGGAATTGAGGGGAATTTGGGGGAATGAAGGGGAATTGAGGGGGTGTCGTGACCCCGCTGCTCACCGTCCCGCCTCCGCTTCCCTCCCGCAGCCGCCCAAGGATGATAAGAAGAAGAAGGATGCGGGCAAGTCCGCCAAAAAGGACAAGGATCCCGTCAACAAGTCCGGCGGCAAGGCCAAGAAGAAGGTGAGGGCCTGAGGGGGGCGGCAGGGCCGTGATGGGGCCGCACCGGGGCTCCTCCAGGCCCCTCACGCGGCTGTGGGCAGAGTGAGGCCGATGGGGGGGGGACCTGGGCCTTCGCCGGCCTCCTGAGGGGGTCCCGCGGGGGGCTCTGCAGTGTGGGGGTTTCATCGCTAAAGCATCGCAAAGCTCAGCCCTTTGTGGACTGCTCAGAAGGTGGCTTAGTGCTTGGGTCTCTTCTCTCCGAGTAGAAGTGGTCCAAAGGGAAGGTGCGAGACAAGCTGAACAACCTGGTCCTGTTCGACAAGGCCACCTACGACAAGCTGTGTAAAGAGGTGCCCAATTACAAGCTCATCACGCCAGCGGTTGTCTCAGAAAGGCTGAAGATTCGAGGCTCTTTGGCTAGGGCCGCCCTCCAGGAACTGCTCAGCAAAGGTAAGCGCTCGAAACCCTGACAAAACACCGAGCTGCTTGAGTTAGAAGTGTTTTCTTTTCTTTCTACAAGATTTCGTGCTCCACGTGAAGTATGCAAGTTGGCATGTGCTTTTAAAAGCTGCTGCCTCAGCTTGTATTTCAGAGGTGCGGCAAAGTAAGGAGCAGACTCTGCTGTGTTTAGTAATAAGGCTGTACGGAGGAAGTCATGTCAGAGGGATGGGCCGTGATGCAGCTGCTCCTGGGCTTGAACGCAAGCCCTGCATACACGTGTTAGTAACAAAGTGCTGTTAGCATTCAAATTTTAGTGTTTTAATGGATCCTGTGGTTACTGGGTTAATATCACGTGTTTAAGTACCTTTAACGTGAGGTATTGGGCACCCTGCTAGTATTTCCTATTGTGTATCTTACGGCCCTGGGCGATTCTAACTTAGTGGGCAGCACAAGATCCCCCACATCCCCCTGGAGACGTGCACTCAATCATCTGCTCCTTCCGCAGGTTTGATCAAACTGGTGTCCAAGCACCGAGCCCAAGTTATCTACACGAGAAACACAAAAGGTGGAGATGCGCCTGCTGCGGGGGAGGACGCATAGGAAGGTGAGAGCGGGGGCTCTGCTCAGGTGCTGGATTTTTCTGTGTCAGCAGCCAACAAGCAGCTGCATGCTCGGGGTTGGCCACTTCTCCAGTCTGCTCAGAGGATGTTGCTTGCACTCCGAGTCATTATAGGGTAGTGTTACTGGAAACAGCAGCTCTCCAGAATTAAAGAGCCATTTGCTGTTTTGCCTGCGTTGCCCACCATGGGGGAAGGCAGCGTGTGCTCTCCTGTCTTTGTGAGCCCTAGGGCAGGTGGGTGCCTGCTGCCTTTGTCAGAGCACACTGGGACTGAACTGGTTTGAACTGGTGGTCTGATTTGGGACTTCTTGCTTTGCAGGTTTTCCAGCGACCTCTTCAACAATATATCCTATGTGGATGCACACAATAAAATTATTAAAATAATTTTTCATGCTTCTTTCTCAAGAATGTGTATTTTTCATTACTAACGCGTGCTTGCTGTTGGATTCTGGGACGGGTCACAAGTTACCTTCCTGTTCCAGCCAGGTTTTGCCAAGCTTTTTTCATTTATACGACATTGCAAATTACCATGAAAATTCTTTTATGGTGGGGAAAGGGAAAGAACTTTCAACATCAATAGCTGCTGTAGGTGATATGATTTCAGGAAAACTGAAAACCATTTCTTGCACTGTAGGTAAAAAAGGGGGTAGTATAGTGTTTTAATTACTTAAATTCCCTCTAACAAGCCATGACCACGTTTCTCTACAAGGAAACAGCCTTAGTCAGGCCAGGGGAAGTGTAGGTAAGGAACCCTGAATAAAGTAAAAGTATTTGTTTTAAATTAGAAGGAATAACTACCCATAGGGAAAGTTTTTGAGGCAGCCTTTCTTCTACTGAGGAACTTATTACAGTTGGCCTTGACATGAGGCAGAAGTGGATTTTTCCTTTCTCTGAAAGCTATAACGTGTTAAAGTCACAAAAAGTGAAATGAAAACAACAGGCATAGGACAGCAGTTGCTAGAAGTAGCCCTGTATCCGAAATGGCTTTCAGTTGGTCTACTAACAGGATATAATTTTTTTTAATTTCTCAAAAGCTTAGTTTATTCAAAGAGCTGTCACGCTATGTGTAGTGTACGCTGTGTAAGCTGAGCTTACTGACAGCTTACAGCAGGGCTGTCTGTGCAGTCTGACTTCAGAAATCAATGCCAGGATGCACAGCACATCCTTTACAGGACTGGATCTGCTGCACCAGCCCCTTGCAACGTAGCTTTCAGCAACAGTGCTCAGCTCCCAGTGTTACCCTGTGGCCAGGCCGCCTTCCAGGGGACTGGAGGCATCTGGATGGATGTCAAACGTGGCACTGGCAAAGCTAGAGCTACCTACAGCCTACTTTTCCACAAAGATCAGAGCTTGGTTTCTTCTGTGGTCCTCTTCTCATCACCTTTTCTTCTTCTTTTCCCCTGATTCAGCTCTAAACTGATGCCTGAAAGAGAGCATAGATGTCAGGAAGCAGCAGCCTTTAAAGAGATAACGAAAGCTCCCTCATCTATCAAGTAAGACAGTGCTATGCCTGATACTTTAGAACAGAAGCTCCCTCAGTTTTCCAGTTATTTCAGTGAACTGTGGTTCCCAGCAGTCTTCAGCTAGTTGACGCAGGTGTCCGGTGTATTGAATTAAAGTGCCAGTGCAACAGGTATGTGTAAAAGCACAGGTATGCAAGGCTGGAAAGGTAGCTGGCCCTGACAAGACAGAGACCTTAGTGTGTGTATTTTCATCTGGATTGAGTGCTATGTGAAGTAATTCCTTCCTTTGCATGGAAAGTTTTCTCTGCACACTCACTACCCCAAAAGCTGCTCCATGAGAAGAAGGAAGCTGCTTACCCACAGCCCAGCATCAGTTCATGCTACCCCGAAACTTACCTGGACTGCCACCTCCTGCCGTGGTTCCACACCCGACCAAAGGAAGGGAGCCAGCTGTCGCCTGTCTGAGAGGCATGGTCAAAATTGGCACCAACGCGGTCTGCTGGGAGCTTTTTCAATTTCTGCTTATCCTCTAAAAGAATTTATTCAGATAGTTTTAAAAATCCTTTTGGTTCTTTAGTGCAGAATTAATTCAAAGTTAACTGAAATGTGTACAAACTGCTCACTTTGCCTTAGAAATTCCTCATACGAAGGTCCAATTTGCTTTTCACTTCCATCCCCTTCATCTTCCTCTGTCAGCCAGGGAGGTTTTGCACCTAGAAGTCAGGGAAAATGTATGGAACCACTGAAGATACCTGAAGTGCCTGGCTTGAGATAGAGAAGAGTATCGCCTCTCCCCCGTACCTGCAGCTTGTCCTTCTCTTTCATTTTTTAAGAAGAAGAAGCTGGCCTGCCTTGGTTAAGGCCATGACAGATCGCACCTAAAACCATGCAGTCTGCACAGCAGCAGTGCACAGGCTCTGCAGTGCCAACGGAGTTTTGATAGCACTGAAGTGTTTTCTCCTGTTTTAGAATGTCAGTATTTTAGCAAGTGAGCACCTGTTGGTCACCTTGTAACTATTCCAAAATTGCTTCCAAAATTGTTTCCAAAGTTTTCCCTGTTACACTTCTAACTCAAGAGTTTTCAGTAGGACAGTAAGTAAAGGAGTCAAGTAGCAGGCAACTTACCTGTGTGGACATTTCCTTTCCCTTCTGTTTCCTGTCATGAGAAACACAAAGCACTAATTAGAAACTGATGCTTTCAAGATTATCTCTGAACAAAGATTGCCCATCATGCGTGTTCCAGTACACAAGAAGTGCCTGAGAATTTCCCTTCCAGTACCAAGTCCTGGTGCAGAAAAAGGGAGACTCTTCTCCATTGTCACTAAAGGAGCGTTTGTTTTTTTACAGTGTATTTTAAAGGATGTTTTCTTAAACTGAAGCTAACGCTAGCTGACTAAAACTCCAAGCTAGTCGCTTGCCTGACTGCAAAGTTGCCTTTTTCAGCAACAGAGATTCACTGGGGCAACTGCAACCCCTTGTTTTGCTTTGTAACCCATGCTAGTGGAACTTGCAGCTGTTTAAATCACACTGGTTACCAAAATCAGGTGATAACAGCCCCCACCTGGTGGCCAATGAAGGTCAAAGCCTGGCTTGACTCCATCCAGTTTAAGTTGGGTCCTGTCTGCATGCTGCTTGGACCAGGCTGCTCAGTGTTGTGAGAGGAATCCCTGAAAGAGAGGAGCCACAAAGAGAGGTGAGTCAGAAATAACACTGTGTGCATGTTCGGGACCCTCCCAGTAAGAAAAAAAAGGAGTGTTCTTGGTGTATGAGAACATTAGGCGTTTAGAAGTTACCATGCTTGCTTCTTGTGGCTGTCACTGCTTATGTACCAATTTGTTGATGATAATACTCTCTGTGCATGTGCTGCTTGTTATAGTTTAGATTTTAAGGAACGTTAATCCCTGAAAGCTACAAGGGAGGGCAGTCCTGGCTGTAACCAGCTGCCCACACCATCGCATCCTTACCTCGGGGGGGCTGCGGTGGAGCTGAGGGCAGCAGGTCCAGCACAAAGCAGTGGCTCAGCACCAACCTGGAGGGCAGCCCGCACCGTGTCCCGCTGCCTGCGCTCTGCCTCCCGGATGCTGGCTGCTATCTGCGGGGAGAGCAGTGCCGTGATGATAAGAAGGTGGTGGCAGAGGGGACAGCAGGGTAGGGGGTGTCCCACCGCCCTCCTGACCCCCAAACCTGCTGGATGCGCTCCTCCTCTTGCTCCTCGTAGTTGCCCAGAGCCTCTGCGAGCACCGCCGCCAAGCGCCCGCGGTCCTCCTCCGACAGCACCAGGCGCTCCCGCAGCGCCGCCTCCGCCCGGTTCTCCCGCAGGAACCGCGCTGTCTCCCGACGGTGCTCGGGGCTGCGGGGCTGCCATCAGCGGGGCTGCCCCCAGCACCCCCCCGCTGCCCTCCCAGCCCCGTTCCCGTTCCCTACCCGGCGAGGTGCTGCAGGAGCCCGGCTTGCGGCACCGCCAGCCCCCCTCGCCGCCAGTCCCGGGGCACGGCGTGGCCGCAGCAGGGGCACCAAACCTTCCTCTCGTGCTCCGCCGCCTCCTCCCGCACCACGACCACGTCCCGCAGCACCTCCAGCGCCGCCGCCACCTACGGGACGGGAACACGGTGAGGAGGGCACCGAGAGGGGGACCGGGAGGGTCCCGCACCCATCCCAGCCCCGCGCCCACCTCCTCCTGCAGCTTCTCCAGCGCCTCCCGCAGCCGCCGCCGGTGCCCGGTGCTGTAGAGGTGGCGGCGGCCGGTGAAGGAGGTGCGGCGGCACAGCGAGCAGTAATGCACCGCCATGGCGGGGACGGGAGGAAGAGGAGGAGGAGGAGGTAGGCGGGGAGCCGCTGCGGTTAACGAAAGGCGCTCGCTTGGCTCGCTGCTGCCGCCTCGTGCCGCCGGGCTGCCCCAGCAGCAGCTCCCCGAGCGGCTCCTGCACAGCCTCGGTGGCTGTGGCCGTGCCTCTGCCCCCTCCCGGTAGCTTGGTTTGAAAGCAGACGCTAGCACAGGTTCCAGAAGCAGGGAGCCACAAGGAATCGGGGACCAAACACAGGTTCCGTGAGTTCTGCAGAAGATACAAGAGAGAAATCAGTGATAGTTATTTGGAGCATCATGAGCTCTCAGGCACTGATACTAGAGCCTCAGTCAGCCCCAATCCATATTAATTTGGCAGGTATTGTATTGCTAAGCATAACGAGGGACTCTGTTTTCATTTAGCCTGGCTTCTCTAGCTATGTTAAGTTCATTTAAGAATGCTTCTTTGGTGGTCTGCTGACTCAACCTGCTTGTGGGGGTATCTGATTGTCCAGTATCGTGGACAATCGTGCTGCCATTCTGCATCTTCTGAGGAAACGGGATGCCTGCACATGAGTCACCTTCGTTCTCTGTAAGCTGGGGAGAGGAAGAGCAAAAAGGATATGGGTATATTAGCCCTTGGTGGAATGAGGAATAGAGATGGCTGGTTTTGTTTTGGGGGGAGCTACGTGTGGTGAACTGTATAGGAAGCTGGGCAGATCTCAGCCCTGTTGCTAGTGGAGGTGCCTGTGCTTTCCTGAATTAATTTGTTTCTCCTGGTCTCAGCCAAGAGGCCTGGTCTTGAGTGGGTGATAGAAAAAATAACCTCACTGAGCTAATAGCTATGCTGTCCTTGTTCTACCCATGAAGCAAATTTCAGCCTCTATTCCTGCACTGTGTGCTCTCATCCTGGCCATCAGATTCTGGGCGTCGAGTGACCCTTGCTGTAGCAGGAGGCAGCTGCTTACAGAACTGCTGAACCAGCTTGGTTTTCCTACAGGATTGCTAAGCAGGTATGGTAGTTAGGACTTCCTAAGCAGTTCCCTTACATTCCTTTTAAGCCTTGCTGAAGGACTGTCAGCACATCCTCCCCAGTACAGTCTGGATTAGAATAGTCCCCAGATGTATTTGGGGAAGTCCCTGTGGCAGCAGTGACCGAGGCTACTGGACTGTCGGATCCAGCTCAGTCCATGCCAGGGCAAACCAGGCTGGGGTTTACCCACAGCCCCAGGTGAGGATGAGCATCAGGTCCTAAAGGAGAAGGAAAACTGTCGCTCCAGTGGTGCTGCCTGACCATCGCTAGAGCTGGCTGTCCAGAAGCAGCCTGGTGAAGCTTTAACAGAATGCAGATTCCAAGGCGAAGGTTGCCAGTTGCCTTCTCCTCTCTCTCAGCAGTGGTGTGTTTTTGTTTGTTTTTTTTTCCTTATTGTTTGCATACAGCATGCATGGCTGTGAGTTCTCACACCACTGCAGCTAGACCAAACAACCGTGCTCAGCTCTGATATTTTACTTTTCAGTGAGACAAGCTGGAAGAGTGTAAATTACTCCCTTCAGCGGCACTCCTTTCCCAAGTTTATCTACCCAAAAGGTAGTATTGGGAGGGAAGTATATCAGCAGGCACAGCTATGAAATTATACCATTGTCCTTGAGAGAGGGACAGACTTGAAGATTAGAAAAATTCCAGTCTAGACACAGCCTCTCTGCTTAGCAAAATAAAAGCCCCTTTCCCATACCATGCCCTAAAAATATCACCAGCCTCTGTGGGTAATGCCACAGGGGTCAGCTTGCCAGTTCAGCATGCGAGAGCTCAGTTCCTCGTCAGTAGCTGGTTGAGACTGTAAGTCCAGAAACAATGTGGTGAGTTAGTAGGATTTAGATCCTTCTCTCTCCCAGGGTGTGCAACACACAGAAGTTGTATGGGGAAAATACTAATTTTGGCTTAATGGCTGACCAGGGCCTGCATCATGCACACCAAGATTTCTCTCCTTCCTTTGGGCTTCAGGAGAGTGGGACGTAGCTATGGGCATAAGGACTCGCGGATGGCAGCTAAAGGGAAGACACTGGGTTCTTAGGGAGATGCTGTTAAGAGTATGTACAGGAAAAAATAGGAGAGATGCACACTTTGTACGTAATCACAAAAAGAAATTTCTAACGTTGCATTTTAAACATGAAGTGAAATAAAATGGTCTTTTTATTAACTTATAAAATCTCGTAATTAGTAAATTATAGACTAGATTTTTACCTGAGTTTTGGAGACAAATCTTTTTAAAAGAAAGTTAGCCAATCAGTCCCTGTGCGACCTTTACCTTGGAGAAACTGATCCTTAGTGGTGGCAAGTTGGAGTTCTGCCATACCCCAGTCTTCAAGGCCATTTTTTAAATGCAGGCTTTCCCAGAATGACTTATTCTGAGAATTCAAGTACATTTTATTGCAAAGCAATCTTCAGATGCTACGTGCAGTCAGATCTCTGAGAGCGGCACAAAGAATTCTACTAGCATGAAGTGCTCTGCATGCTGAGTGATTTTTTTTTTTTAAAGGGTATCACATGGGTGAGTGAAGGGCTCGTCTCTGTTTCACACTTCCAAATACCTATTGAAGACCCTTCCAATGACTAAATAGTTAATATTAGTGGAGTAAGCAAGCTGATTGAGAGTAAAAGAGGTAGCACCTCCTAGGCTCCTCTGTTTTCTGTTCTTATATTTTACTAAAGCCCTAAAGGGGGCTTTAGTGTCTTACATTTTACTAAAGCTGGGGGGGGGAGGTATCAGCAGGAAATTAACATATTTCCTGTATCAGCAGGAAATTAGATTTCAGATGCAGTACGCATGTTGACCATTTTGTAGAAGCACACAGATTATGCTCATAGCTGTAGACTTGTTAAGGGACAAGCTGTCAGTCTGCAGGGTGGCAGAAAGAGGCTGGTTTTGGCAATTGCTGAAAAAGGTTGCACCATAACATTGGCATCACGATGCTGGGAGAATCTCAGCTTAAAAATGCATTCTGTGAACCTTTCATCACAGGTTTGGCCTCAAGTGGTGTTTTTTGTTTTTTTTTTTTGTTTTTTTTTTTGGTGGGTGATTAAAAAAAATAGGTAAGATGCTTTTCCCAGCTGCAGGATTGCAATGCAGTGCTTTGGGCCAAGTGTTCCTGTGCTGTTTACTGTCACTATTATCATCTTTTGAGGCAAGCTGTTGAAAAATAAGTCAAACGCCAAACCAGGTTTTCTTGTAAAGGTAACACTCAAAGGGTAGAGAGGATGTTGCATGCTTGGCTTTGCCTCTTCAAAAAAAACAGGCCTGAAAGTCTATGCTGCAGTAAGTTTTGCGTAGTTTTTATTAGGTATTTCCTAAATACCAAGTCAGTATGGCTTTGCTTTTGGTAGGTGTGAAAGAATACAGTTGCAAAAACTTTTTCTACCTTTCTGTGAAGAGCTCAGTCCTGAAGGCAGACGTGCTTCCTGTCAGATCCTTGAGGTATAAACAAGATGTGCTTGGTGGCTTGGTTTCCTCATATAAAGCTTGAGAGCGCCCCAATCAAAATCTCTTTCCCCTTCCTGAAACCGGAGCCTGATGTTTGACTTGGGATATGTTGCAAACAATTCGACTACTATAGTTTAATAATTTACTACCTATCACTTGACCTGTTGTACCACAAAGTTGCTTTCCCCTTTCTGTTTGAAATTAAACTCTCACACAGCGTATGCATGGTGTTTAGCGTGCATCAGCTGAGGTGCAGTAATTCATGAAGCCCATGATTATCTGTATACACTCTCAATTAATGTCTCACCTACCCACATAACCTTTGGTACTTCAGTAAACTTGCATTAGTGTTAGTGGATGTGGTTATATTAACAAACTTAGAACAACCTAAGTATTTTTGGAGTAAAAAAGTTCTGAAGTAGCTAAGCCCTGCATAGCGATAAAGTATCTTGACCTGCTCCCCCTTCAGCCAGGCATGGCCTTTTAAAAGCGAGGAAGGCGATGTGTGAGGCTCTAATGTGGAAAAAAGAAGACTCCTTTAAGGAGTAATTTGTCTGTGAAAACTACAGGCAACAGTTCTTTTTACAGCTTTCAGAAATCATCCCTGGGAAGAGCATGTCTGCGGGAGGACAGCCGGGAGTATGCTCGGATATTTTGGGAGCATTAAGGGGATTCACCTGACACCGGTTCAGAGCCTTGGTTTGGTTTTGGCCCTTGTTGTGCTGAATCGCAATCCCACTGGTTTGTATAAATGGTCCCAATTTGTGGTCAAGGCATCAGAACCCTTCAGCTCCATCTCGCCATGCCTACCTTTGCTGGGGAGACAGATCATGGTCAGACTGACAGAATCAACCAGTAGCACATAAACCTAGGGCTGCCGATTCTTTACACCACACAGTTAAACCAAAAGCTCCTGCTTTTCTCCTAAAACCACCTCTGCTTTGATCCCTGCCTGACAGGGAGCGGGCAGGGCCCAGCCGCCCGCCCGGGGGCCGCCTCCGCCGCCAGGGGGCGCTGCCCGCCGCCGCCCGGCCCCAACATGGCGGAGGCCGCGCCCCGGGCCTACGCCGGCGGGAGCTGAGGCGGGTGGCGGGGTGGCCCGGCCTCCATTTTGAGCTTAAAACACCACAGCTGCACGGCCAGCGTGTGCAGCGTTTAGTTTAGGAGAGATTCAGGTCACGGCTGTTGTGCTTGGGAGCCGTGGGATGGTGGCTGCGCAGGGATCAGCAGTAATAAAGCAGTGGGAGTGTGTCACGGCGAAGGAAGCAGCCGCAGCTCTGTGCCAAGGTGGAGGCTGCTGATGAGCAGGTGTCCCTCCATCCAAAGGGACTTGGACAGGCTGAAGTTGGCCCTCATGAACGTGATGAGGTTCAACAAGGCCAAGTGCAAGGGTTGGGGCAGTCCCAGACACGAGTACAGGCTGGGTGGATCTGTAAGGTCCCTTCCAATCCAAGCCATTCTGTGACAGACTTGGGCACATAACTAAGGTTAATAAATCTGATTTCTGTTCATGCGGTGACACTCCTCAGGTTTTATAGCCGGTGACAACTTTGTGTGCATTACAAAGCTGCAGAATCACTAGGCAAGCTTTTTTTGCCTATAGGTTCAGGGCTAAACTGGATGCCTGTACATGGCTTCTTACCAGACAGCACCAAGAACCTGAAGCCAGCAGTGTGTGTCCTCACCTCTCAACCCCAGCACGTGAGGCCTGATGCTGGAGTCGTGTCTGGTTTCTTACAGCAGCATCCAACCAGAGCGTTAGGGCACAAGCCTCTGCAAAAGGCGGTTCTGTGCGATTCAGCCTCCTTCTTGCTAGTGGAGAGAGAGTCGGTGAGATCATGAGGCCGTGCCACTGGAAGTTTCATCTAAAAAAAAAATAATAATAAAATCCTTTTCTTCTTGCCGCAGCTTGGAACAGGGATGTTGTATCTTTAAGGCACCCCCTTCGCATTCCACTAATACCTCAAGGCCTCGGAGTGCTTCTGGAGGAGAGGATCAGTGCAGGAGCTGAAGGCATCTCTCCCTGCCCTGCTGCACTGCTCACTTACTGCTCCGAAGGCTGCGCTTTGCCGTTTCCACGGAAACCATTAGTTGCTAAGCGACTGGAGCATCATCTGTGCTGAGCCCTCGCATCTAATTATCCCATCACGGTGGCTGAGAGGGGCTGGGGGGGGATTAACTCTTCTACCATGGCAGATCCATTGACAACACTTTAGTAACATTTAAAGGGACATTGTCTCCCTCCTGCATGCAGTTGTCGGTGGTCTGTTGCTCAGACAAATCCTTGGTTTTCTTGCGTCACTTGAGCTTGAGGAGGAATACGGGTTTCTGCGAGCAGCAGAGGAACTGGCTGTGCTGGTGGCTGCCCATGCACAGAACTCTCCTGGGAGCTCTGGGGTCTTTTCTCTGGTCAAGTTATGCTTGATGTGCTTGGCTGTGTGTCTGGGTAGCGCAGTCCGTGTCCTGTGGGCTCTGTCAGGGCTATCCTTCGAGTCCTTCAGGTATCTTCTTTGCCTTGTGAGAGCCCCAATGCTGCCCTCACGTTATTGTGCCTATCCCAGGAGCCTGATGTCACGTCTGACTTAAATATGAGAATAAACTTTTTCATGATGGATTTTTTCAGGAAATTTTATTTCCTGAAACCTCTGTAACTGGATGTCAGCTACCGATTGGTGAATTTTGAATGTTCGGACACAACAATCAGTCTGAGAGCAGATTCTGATTTTGAATTTGCTAATCCAAGATCGATGTCATGCAGGACTCAGTGTCCCCACATAACAGACTGCAGCAGGCTGAGATTCTGGGACTTGTGAGAAGAGTGGTGCAGCTACCAGTGTGACTTATCTTTAGACAGGTTGCCTGAGCTTTTTTGTTTTCCAGCTTTCCTGAAGTCTGACTGCAAGGTCTGTGGCTGAGTAAATTGTGTTAGCTCCTTGCCTGCTCTCACCTGGCTGGATACTGAAGAATTTCTGTTACCACTTACTCCTGAGAAAGGGACACTTTGTGATTTGCTGAAGTGGTAGCCTCAAAGGTCCAGCCACTAGAAAAGCAGTGGAGATTTGTTGGAAAGTTTTCCTTTTTTGCTACTGTACAGGTCTATGAACCAGCTGAGCCTTGTTGGCATAGTGCGAAGCAGCGTACCTGCTTACGAGAGGGTATAGCAAGATCTGAATGCCTTGGTGAGAAAGGGAGGTGGTGAGCCAGGTGAGCACGATGCTGTTCAGGGGGCAGGGGAGGACTCTGCCGCTTAGCAAAAGCGAGATGAAGGTTGTGTGCATGCGGAAATCAAAGGAACTGTTCAGAGCAGAGTTTGCCATGTGCTGGGGGCTTGCAGGGATCAGGAGAAGCAAATGTGCAAGCGTGTGACTCACGCATGAGGTCCCAGAGTCAGGAAGGAGTAATCTAAAAGCTGCTTGAGCCATGTGCTGAATGTTAATGAGGCAAGCCGTGCTCGCAGAAGTGCTGCAGCCCAGCTCCTGTCACTGTGCTTTACTACCAGTGCGGCTGATTCCCTGAAAAGAGTGAAAAGCCTCACACTGGCAGAGCGTGCCTGCTAACTTGAACTTCTGTGACTTGGCTGGCAAGGCAGGCCGGGAGCTTGCAGAGCAGAGCGATTAGCACGGCGCTTTGCTCTGTCTGCAAGCTCTGTGAAATGCTCCTCCTGCACCTGCAGTCTCCTCGGTGGAGAACAGCCCTCTTCTGCTCGACAGCTCCCAGCACTGTCACAAAACGTGGCCTCAGGACAGAATCAGGGCAGACTCAATCAAGTGTTGCAGCTCTTGTCAACAACAGACTTGTTTTAGCGAGGCAATCCTCGTCCATCCTGGTGGACAATCCCTGTCCTGGGGTGGAGCACTCGGCTGCAGGCACCCAGTGCAGTCGCACAGTGGTTTGGATGAGGAAGAAGCTGAAGTGAAGGAGGGGAATTAGAAAGATACGAGGGGAATTGCTTCAGTTGGAATTTGGCCAGAATGCTGGATCAGACAGCCCGACTTCTGGGACGTGTCAAGGGGTTTCTAGCAGCTTGTTTGAAATATGGGGCTTGGGGTCTTGCAGTTCCTCCGCTGTGGGTGGCTCCACTGTTGAGTGGCCAGCGCTGTTCGTGGTTCATTCTGCTTCCATGTCAGAACTCAGGAATATCTTGCCCTGTCTGCTAGATTACACTGCCTTTGCTCTTCAGTTTCACTCGTGTGCTTTCTCTTTTGCTTTTCTTTTGGCTTCTTGGGGCATAAAGGATTCCCAAGAAGAACTGAAGTTAGGAGAGCAGCAGCTGAGGAATCTTGCCAAATGCTCTGCGCTGGTTGACAGTTCTCAAAACCAGATGGTTACCAATTAAAGGGAGTCAAGTGAGGGGGTTACATTGGCCTTTCTGTTTTTTGTTTTTTGTTTTTTTTTTCTTCCTTTCTTGTGACCCTGGAGGACCATCACCTTCCCCTTTGTGCAGGGACGTCTTCCAGGACTGGTAGTTCATGGTGACCCCACAGCCATCTGCTGGGTGCTGTGAGGAGGAGCTGGTCCTGTCCCTAGGTACAGGGTATTTCTGAAGAAACCCAAGGTATCTGCCGTGAGAAGTAGGAAAGAAATGCAGTTGTTGTTTTTAATAAAATAAAGAAACCCCTTACATCTAAGAGGAATTTCGGGTATCGAGAAGAGCCTTTGTCCAGCAGAAAATCTGGGAGCTTTCCTTGAAGTCTTGTCTTGTGAGTAGAAACAAGCCTGTCTGCGTCGCGCTGCCCTTTAGCTGAGCGTTACCGTCCTCATCCTTGGGGAACTTCTTGTTTGTCAGCCCGCTGCACCTTTCCCACAGAGGAGCACTTTAAACACTGCCACTCTCAGGCCATTTGTATGCAAGTGGACTGCTTCACGTGGCTTTTCTTCATGGTACTGCGAGCGGGATGGCTGGGAAGATGAAGGGCAAGCACAGTGTGTTTCCTTTTTTTTTTTTTCCCCAAGAACATTCAGTTTCTAGAGCCAATCTTAACAGATGCACTGTCAATGCTTAGCAGTTCAACCTCATGTGGAAGAATTGTGTATGAGGAAAAATGTATTGGCAGTACCAAACACCTCCCACTCGGACTCATGTCCAAGAAAAGTGTAGCAGCTTTGTCTCGATTCAATTCCAGAACTGTGGTCCTTCACAGGCTCCCTTTGCTGGGAATCTTGTTCCTTCCTCCTGAAGGGCTGGATTTCCAGGGACGTGCACCAGGACTGCTGCTCATCCTTCCACTCAGGATTGCTGAGTGGAATCTCCTTTCTTAATACCCCCACAATAAATGCTGCTGTTAGACCATGCTACCAGGACCAGTAGATCGTCTCCCTTAGATTAGTTGCATGGTTCCAGGTGTGTGTTGTCCTTTCCCTCCCCGTCTCTGGCTGGCTTGCTTTAACAGGTAGTTTTTTCCTTGCAGAACTTCGGTAGGGACCAAGCAACTTTGTACTTCATCCTGCCAGCTCGCCTCTGCAGCCTTGGAGCATGTCACAACCTGGGCAAATTCTGTAGACAGCCTGGAGACCAACACAGCTCCCTCCGACCTTCTGGGAGCTTACTGTAGCGATGTAACCCCAAGGTGGAAAGTGCAAAATGTCCTTGGAAAAAGGCCGTTTTCACATTCCTCCTGAAAACGGAGGGTTTCAGGGGGCTGCCCTTCCTTCCCATCTTCTTATGGTGTTTGAGCACCAACAGCTGTTGACCAGAGGGCTGAAGACTCAATGAAATGTCCAGGAGCACACTGTCCACCCCAGAAATACTTAGTGATCACACCAGAGGCTGGCTATGTGATGCGTTCCCTGCTTTACCACTGTCTAGTCTGGGCAGAGCTGATCTGACTTGCTTTAATGGTGAACCCAGAGCCCTTGGCTGCTGTGGATGATGCTGGAAGTTGACAAGCTATGGCTAATGTGGCGGGAGGGAAAAGCCACTTCATTTTCTCTGCATTTGTAGAGAAACAAATGGCTGCAGGTACAAGTGATCATTGTCTTCAGCTACACCTTGTGCTGTGGGGCCAGGGCAGTCTGCCGACAGGATGTTACGATGCTCTGGACATCCTGGGGACTGATGGGGCTGCTCCTCTTCCACATCCTCAGGTCTCACCAGTGCGCAGCTTCCTCTGCCAGGTAGGTAATGGCAGCTTTCTGCAGGAGCTGCACCACCTGTGGCTCTTTGTCCTGCTGGAGTTGCAGAGCAAACGTGGACCCATGAGGTTGTTTTGCCCTAGGTGGGCTTCTCCGTGTGTTCCTGTGGGATCAGAGTGCTGGTTTGGGGTCAGTCTGGAGGGAAGGGCACCGTCCTTTTGTGTCCCCGATGGCACAGCACAAATCCACCTCTGTGTGTGATGCTGCTGAAGCATCCCTCTCCCTGTCATGAAATATTCATGCCTTTCTCAAAACAGGCTCCGGCACAGCAGATCTGCACGGCCCTCCCCTCCCCTGCCCCCTTCACACCCCGGCAATCTGTGCTGCAGAGAGGGTGGCTGTGGGCTCTGCTGTGAGGTCAAGCCAGATCCAGGCAGCTGATCTCTGCGTCTTTGAGGAAGTAAAACAGCAGAAAAGAAGTAGAAAAACCCCGGGAGGTGCTTTTGAGCATTAACCCCTTCTGTGCAGGGAAGCACCAACAGGAGCAGAGTACAATGAGCAGTCACGGGAGAATAAGATGCAGAGAGCAGCAGGGATGAAGCAGTCCTTTGTGAAGCTGGGAAGAGGGCTCCCAAACCTGGGAATTCTGCTGGAGTGCTCAGGCCCTGGTGCCTTGGATGGATAGGTGTGAGTCTATCTCATGCGAGTTACTCTGCTTCTCTGGCTTTCCTGAAAGCTTCCTCGATTTCACTGTATTTGTTCTGCAAGGTGAGAGTCCTTGCTAGGATGTAACGGAGAAGTGTTCTGTTTCCCCCGTGGGTAGAAGAGAATAAATCTTGAACCTTGGGAATTACATCTCCGGGATGTTTACATTCGGGGCATTTTTGAGCCACCTCCTCATTTAACATGTCAGTCAGTGAAAGTAACGTACGGAATGAATTACAGAGGGAAGGCTCTGTGCTGGGAGCAAGGACTGGCAGCGAGGGCATCCAGACTCCCTCAGAGGCCTTCCGTGAGCCCCGTTGTGCAGTGGGAACCCTCTCTCCTCACGAGAGGACCCTGCTGTACGCAGAGCTCCCTGGGCAAGCACGGAGGGGAGGAGGAAACTGTGGTACCTGTCAGACACAGGGCGCAGGTGGTATTTGAGTGGCCTGGTTGGGCTGGTGGATGCAAGCGGTTCATCCCTCCCTGCTCATCCCCTTGAAAATCTGATTTGCATTCCCTTTTCTTCCTCTGGATCCTGCTGTTACCATGGGAACTATGTTCACAGTTGCATTTCATTGGCTTCTGGAAAAACTCCTTTTTCCCTTTTCCCCTTTTCCACCTTGGACGTGAGGCTGTGGCAGTCAGAGGGTGGGGAAGCTTGCAAGGGTTCTGATAACTGGGGTAAAGGCAGCAGCTACAAGTAGGAATGGGGAAATAGGGCAAGACCTTTAGGGACTGTGGGAAGCAATTGTGTTTGTGTGGTCTTCAGCTTGGTCTTTTCTGTGTCCTGTGGCTGTGAAAGGGGTCGTGGACACCTCTTGTCCACACGTCTGCCTGCTCAGCCAAGGGACCGCTGTATGGGTGCGAGAAGGTAAGGGAGGAGATGATGCTCCAGGCTCTTGTGCTGTCACCCTTCTGCGTTGTTCAGGAAGGTTGTGCTGTGGCCTGGCAGTTTGGGAGCACACACAGAAAGTCTCAAGCAGCTGAGATGCATCAGCACCAAGCAGCACTTGTTGGCTCGCCTGGTCCTCGTGTCACCGTGCGATGCCCCTCGCTGCTGCCAAACACAGCAGGCTTGTGTGAACAGGGGGATTGCCTTGGAATGAGGAGAAAACAGGGATGCAATGCAGAGAGGGTCCTCAAGCCTGTTTTTAGGGTTTGCCTTCTGTCACTGTGCAGCGGGACGAGCAACGAGTCTGCTCGAGGCTCCCCACAACACCTCCAGCCCCTTCGTGCCAGGCCAGCCCGTGTTTGGTGGGCTAGCTCTGCCAGACACAGCTCTCCTGCAAACCTCTGCCTTGCCTTCCCTCCGGGAGAGCATCCTGGTGCTGGGTTCTCAGTGCTGATGCTGCACAAATACCTGCAAGGAGACCCTAAACAGGGGCTGTCTGTGCAGGGGGGGCTGATTCTGACCGTGCCGCTGCCAGCTCCGAGCCTCTGCATCTCGCTGGCAGGGGCTGCAGGTAGTTTTTATTTTTTATTTTTTAGTTTTTTTTTCTTTGCACTTTCGTGCAGGACCGATGGGGAGGGGGCTGCGGGGGGGGGGGGGGGTCCCTGCCCGGCTCCGAGCCCCGTGGCCGCCAGGCGGCGCCGCCCGCCCGCTCCGAGCCTCCCCCGCGGTACCGGCGCCCGGCGGGGCCCGGGGCAGCGACAACCGGGGGTCCCCTCCCGTCCCCTCCCCATCTCCTCTTCCTTAAAAGCTGGGAGCAGGCGTGGAAGAAGCCGTAGCACGGGGCTGTACCAGGTTTTTCTCCTCCTGTCTGCATCTGGGGTGTTGGTACTTCCCCTCTCTCCCTCCCTCCCCTCTGCCACTGTCATGAAAAGATGCTGAGAGGGGTGTTAGGAGAGGCAGCGTGCCTCCAGGATTGCCTCGCTCTGCACTGTCTGGGGTTTGGTAGTGCCCCTGCATCAGCAGGGTGTTGTAGGGGAGCATGGAGGGAGATGGGGAAGTCTGGAGTAAGAGAGGCAAGCGGGGAGAAAAGCAGCTGGCAGGAGGACCTCTTCCTAGTCCCAAGTCCCAGAGAGTCCTGGTGGCTCGGACCTCTGCCAGGAAAGTACCACCAGGGCTGTGTGTGTGTTTGGAGAGTCTGGGGCATGGATGAGCAAGGGGGGAGTGAAAGCTGAAGGAGGAGAGCTAGGGGAGGGCTTGTGGCTTTACTCGCAGTCCACCTCTCAGGAGTACCCAGGACAGCCGGGTCTGACCAAGCAGAAGTGTGGCAGGTGAGTCTGGCTCTGCTGGCCTTGTGTACCCATCACCTTCACTGCCTGTCTGTACAACTCACCTGGTTCACAGGTGCCTGTGAGATGCTGCAGGAGAGGCTTTTCCCTCTGCTAGAGGTTTGTGTGGCTCAGGTGTTGCACATACCAAGGTGTATTGGGATTTGCAGATGGCACAAGGTAAAAAATCGGTGACTTCTGCTCCAGCTCCGTTTACAGAGCAGTGATTCTGAGCCACCCCAAATAGTAGTTGAAACACTGAGTGAAACAGAATTTGCATCGGGCTTCTGGCCTCACTCCGAACCCACCTGCTCCGTGCTCCAGGATTTGCTGACAAAGGGCTCGAGTGCCTGCAGTGACCGACCGAGCTCCCAGGGCTCCTCCGAGGATGAAGAGACTGAGTAAATAACCAAAGGGAGGGGTTGCTCCCTTCCTAGGTCTCCTGCACTGCAAAACTGCAGCAGCAGCCAGCAGCACCTGCTCTTCCCCCTTATTCTGCAGCTTTGGGAGCTGGCCTCCGTGTGCCTGCTGCCTGTGGCCACACACATTTTGGGCGTGCAGCAAGCACATCTGCCTGCCCTGGCACCACCGTGGGGTGCACGATGCCTCTGATGAGACACTGGGGTGCGCGGAGGGGAGCCCAGGACCGTGAGCGCTGCCTGTACAGACCCGAAATCCTGCGCAGGGCCTGCTGCTGCCTGCGCAGCCAGCCAGGAATGTCACAGGGAAATCTGGCTGCTGCAGGGGGGGGGGGGGGGGCTGCATTCCTCCCTCCAAGGCTTTTGGGGTCCCCCCCTGGCTGCTGCTGCTCCCTGCCCTGCTCTCGGGGGGCCACGGGGCACCCTTTGGGCTGGGGGCTCGCCCGGCCCACCCAGCTGCCTGCCTTGCCGTGGGTCGGAGGGGGGATCTGGCTGGCTTTGTGTCACTGAGGCGCTGTGATTTCAGAGCCAACCCTGCCTGCTCAGTTTTTCCAAACCCTCACTTGGAAGGAAGGAGCAGTATCAGGATAAGAGTCCTCCCCACCCACCCCGTTCCCTGCCACCTTCCCAGCTCCCCAGCCAGCCCCGGGGCCCTGGGTGGCAGTGGGAGGCGCTGCCTGTGCTGATTGCTGCCTTTATCGCACCGGTGGCCTTGCTAAATGGGTTAACCCCTTGCTCCCTCGCTGCCTGGCGTTCGCTTCTCCTGACAGCAGGCTGGAGTCTGTCCTGCTGTCAGCCGCTGCAGCTGTGCGGGCTGCCTCGTGGGCTGCAGCTTTCGTGGCTCTGCATGAGGTGAGAGAGGCAGCTCCCACCCCGGCTGGCTGGCAGAAGTTCCCTCCTGGCTTCGGTGCCGGTAACCCCGAGCTTCTGCTTCGCGTGCCACCGAGCAGAGCCCGCTCAGGACAGCAGCAGTGTAACGAGACAGGAAACAGCCAAGCAAATGTCTGCGCAAGGAAAACACTGCAGCCCTGGCCCAAGTAGTTTAGGAACCCCTTATCCCGTGTCCTGCCGTGCTGCTGGCAGTTGCATGAGGCTGCTGATGAGCTCGCTTCCAAGCAGCCTGTCTCCTGGCACTTGGCACGGGTCTGTGATGCTGGAGGTGCCCTTTACATGGTTACAGCGCGTAGCAGAGGCCACCCGAGCGCAGGCTGCTGCGGTGGGAGTTGGGCTCATTCCCTGTGCATGGGAGAAAGCTTGGAGAGCAATGCCATGCCTGGAAACGTGGGTTTTAGGAGTGCGTCTGATATCGTAGTGATGGCAAAACATACATCTGGAGCCTCAGCCCCTTTGTGATCCCGAATTGCATCAGGAGTTTGTCTTTGCAAGAAGATGGTGTGTGAGCTGCACTGTGACAAGCCAAGCTGGAGGGTCCTGATCCCTTCAGGCACAGACCTGGGGCTTCTGCTGGGCTGGCTTTTTCCCCGTTTCCCTGAGTAACAGCTTGTGGTGCCACCAGAACAGTAACGCCTTTTGGTGCCACCAGCCCCAGACTTGCTTGCTCCATCCCAGGTCGTCTGTGTTCCCCCAGCACCAAAGGCTCTGCTGGGGTCGATCAGAGTCTGGAGTGAGCCACTGGGGAAACCACTCACAGAGAGGCAGCTCCAGCTAACTGTGAAGCACATCAACTCCAGTGTAGTTAATTGGGCCTAATTAATAATATTCATAAGTGTAATGAGGGCCTTGCCCACAGGGGTCTAGTGAAGGCCTGAGCTCGGGGATGGTGTTTTGGAGAGGTGAGAGGAATGAACAAGTTCCAGAGCCTCGGGACCCGGGTTCCCTCTACTCCAAGCATCCTCTGTGAAACTGCACCAGGACAAGGCTGTGACCCTGGAGCCCGGCGTCTTCTGTGCACCACCTTGAGCTCTGTTTTTCCAGCTGGTGTGGCTCAAGCTCCTTGCCTGAGCAAATTACCCCACAGCACACCACGTACGTCCCAGGGTTGCTGCTCGAGCTTCTTCAGAAAGCAGCATGGGCTGACCTGGGCCAAACTGTGACTACACCAGCGTGAGAGCTGGGGGAGTTCCATCTTCGTGTGCGTTTTGCTCGTTGTACAATTGAAGAGTGAATTGACCTGCAAGAAAGAGGGAAGGGTTAGCTCACTTGTTGAAATGCCCAGCACAGGTTCTCCCTTGGTGATGAGGGGCTCCCTTGTGTCCGAGCTGTCAAGCCAGCACTTCTCATTAGCACTGATTTGCTAGTAAAGAACATATGGGGAGAAAAATCTCTGTTGGTGTAAAGAAAGGGGCAGGTAACAGCCAGGCTGGAGTGAGCTGCTGCTGTGTTGTTGCAGGGGGCATGGGAGGCCGAGGGGAAGGGGAGAGGCGGCGAGTGGGTGACTCCCCCCACCCCCTGCCCTGCTGTGTCAGGCTGAGATGGGGGGAACGAGTGGGGCTGCCTGCTTGCTGCGTGCCAGACAGCAGCGGCAGGGCACTGCCTTTACCCATATGTGCCCTGTGGGGCGGTTTGTGGGGTCTGCACTTCGTGCCCACGCTGCACTCCCCCGAGCTCGCTCCCGCCGCCCCGCACCTCGCCAGGGGGCGCCGCCGCCGCGTCCCCGTGCGCCCCCGGCCCCCGCCGCGCCCCCCGGGACCTCCCCGGGGCTCGGCTCCGCTCCGATGGGCACCGGGAGGTCCCCGAGCAGCTCGGGCCCCTCGGTGTCGGGGCTGTGGGGTCGGGGCGAGGCTCCCGTGCGGGCCCGGAGGTGGTTTCTTGCTGTGTCATTCCGAGGCGGCTCTGGCTGCGGCCGCTGGTGTGCGTGCAGCCGGAGCAGGAGGGGGGGAAAAAAAAGGTGGATTTTCATTTTCAATTAGGGCCGCTGCTGCTGCTGCTTCCCATCAGCTGAGATTGATTGCTTGTCCCTGGATCCCCTTTAGCTCTGCAACGCTTTAAGATGCTGCCAAGCGGTCCCCGCCTGCAGCCCTCTCTTCTCTTCTCTTCCCAGCCCACCCCCGAGCGCTGAGCGCGCTGCAGGAAGGTGACATCCTGGTTAGGATGCTGCTGGCATCGGCCAGAAGCGGGTGGGCTGCTTTAATAGCCGGCTGTGTGCGCACTGCTACGGCTTGCAGGCGAAGAGCACAGGCAGGCAGCGAGCCAGCTGTGTCCTCCTCGAGTCTCCTCCGCTTCTTCCTGCTCCTGTCACCTCCACCCCATTGTACCTGTCTGTGCAGGGTGGTTGAGGTGTTGAGAACTGCTGGTAAAGGCAGCGATTTGCTGCCGATCCTCAGTGCTGCGTGCATTTAGTGTGTCTTGTGTGTAGGGTCTGGGAATGGCAGCAGGGAGGGTGTTGGGTGTGAGATACCCCTGGTTCAGCAGTTTGAGAGCAGGGCACGCGGGGTGGCAGCACAACTTAAATATGAGGCTTGAGGGGGTTCATCCGAAGTGTCCCGGTGGACCAGAGCGGGCTCAGAGTAAACCAAGCCTGAGGAACAGAGAGATGGGTGCTGAGAGAGGTCCTGATGCTGTTGTAGGGCGGCCTGGGATGTGTTCACTGCTGGAATCGCTGCAGAACAGAGACCCACAGGTACTGGTAATGCCACGAGACAACTGCACGTGGAACCTTGCTGTTAGCCCAGGCACACACACGGCCGGACAGTCGCTTGGAGGGAGACAGCCCCCTCCACTTAGGGGGCTAACAAGCAGCTCCAGCCCGAGTGCCGGCTGCCAGGCGCTCTCTTCCCTTGCTGCCCACAGCCTGGATGAGGGTGTTCTGGCAGCTGCTGGCGGCGTCTCCAGCCTGGAGGTCTCCATAAACCCTGAAACCCTGGCAGCAGTCACTCTGCTGCTGCTTTGATGGTCACCCTGCGTGGTGTGAGCTGGCTCTGCCATGGTGCCAGCAGTGCCCAGCTCAGTCTGGACGTGTTTTTGTGCGTCCCTACAGCGTGAGTGCCATTTGGCACAAGGGGACCCCCTGTCCTGCGCGGTGCCCCTCTCCCTTTTTATGCCCGTGCTGTGGTTCGCACAGAGCAATGCTCATCCAGGGGGTGCCGGGCCGAGCCCCCTCCCGCAGAATTCACCCCTCTGGGGGCCCTTTGGCGAGCTCCGTGCCCCGAGGAGGGGGGAAGCTGCCCCGGGGCCGCTTTGCGCGCACCCCCTCGGGGGGAGCCGAGGCCGGAGCCTTCCCGGGGGGGGCTCCGCCGGGCCGAGCCGGGCCCCGTCGAGGTCCGGCCGTGCTGCTGCGGCTCCTCCCGGCTCGGTGCTCGTCCCCGGCAGGCCGCTGGGAGGCCGGCGGAGAAAAGCGGGGCTGGGGAGGAGGCGGTGGCGGAGCGGCGGCGGAGAGAGAGAGAGAGAGGCTTTTATTTTGACAGGGCAGCGCTTGGCTCCTCGCACGGAGGAAAGTGAATGATCCTGTTTCTCCAAATGATTATTCAGGCTCCGGCGGAGAAAGGAGCACTCGGCACGCAGCGCCTTGCCCCTCGCCACGGCGCCCCCGCCCGCCCCCGGGCTGTCGCGGCCGCCGGCACCGGAGCCGCTCGGAGCCGCCGCCGCCGCTCGCCGCGGGGCCAGCTCCGCCGTCGGGCTCGGGCTGGAGCCGCCGGCAGCGGGGCTCCGGGCTCCGCTCGCCGCTCGCCCCGGGGCCGGGCCGCGGGGGGCGGCCGAGCCATGAGCCCGGCCCCAGCGGCCGGCCCCGAGCCGCCGGCCGGCCCCGAGCAGCAGCAGCAGCAGCAGCAGCAGCCCGAGGAGCAGCGCCCCAACACCGCCGGCACCGCAGCCACCAGCGGGGGCTCGCCCGGCCTGCCCTGAGCCTCTCCGCCGCCGCCGAGGTGAGTGCCCCGCCGCCGCTGCTCCCCCCCATTGTTCCGCCCCCCCGGGACGCGCTGTCGGGCTCCGAGCCCCGCAGGAGGCGCCGGGGCTCCCCCGGGAGCGGCGCCGGTGCCATCCTCGACGGGCGAGGAAGTTGAGGAAAAAAGGGCCCGGGCACGGGGCAGGTGGAGGGACCCACGCGGAGCTGGTCCCCGAGGCTCTGTGGGGTCGTCGGTGGCCGGCCCCGGTGGTGCGGGGTCGTCCCCCGCTTGGGTTGGCCCCAGCGCTGCTGTCAGTGCTCGTGCTGGCATCGGGCACGTCGTGGACATCGCCTCCGGTCTGTGTGGCCCTTCTGAGTCTCCTGGTACAGCCTGGAGAAAAAAATCCCAGAGGCTGCTTGTCTGGGGTCCTTCTGAGCTGTCTGCTGCTGGAACTCCACCAGGAGCAGAGCCTGAGCTGTGCTGTAGATGCGAAGAACTTCTTACTGACACCATGCCTGGTTTTGCCTGGGCCGCTCTGGATTTTGCAAGGTGTTATCGGTGGCGTGAATGCCCCAGGAAGGGCTGGAGCAGGGATTCCTCTGCTTGGAGTCCTTGCGTTGCATGGAGGTAGGGTTGAAGTCAATGCTCTTGCCTGAGCCTGCCCTCGATGCCAGCTCTCTCCCCGCTTTCTTTCAGCGCCTCGATCGATGTGCTTCTGTTCTCTCCTGAGGTAAATCAGGCATGCGGTCAGTTTGGAGGAGACAAAAAAAAAATAAGGAAGGGAGGAGGAATCTTACACGTATGTTCTTTCCTTGTGCTTGAGCTGTGCACAGAAAGGACCCGATGTAACAAAATCGTCGCTGTGTTGTATTAGGGACATGTCTTTAGCAGGTGGTGAACTTGTCCTAGCCCTGCTCTGCTAGCAACCACTTGCTGGAGTAGAAATGTGAGAAGGATGCATATCTGAACACGTAAGTAATGCTACATGACAGGGCAGGCTGTTGTGTTGTTGCTTGCAACGTCTGCACGCCCTGGGGGCAGTGCTATCCGACAAGGTGTAGGGCCGTGGTGCCGGCTGCTTGTGTCCCGGGCATGCGAGGCAGAGGGCTCCTGACAGCACGGTGCAGATGCCAACTGCACACCTTTGACTGTGGTGTGTCGCTACACGATGCAGCTGCCTGCTGCTGACCTGTGGAAGCTGCTCGGGGAGTGCGGCTCCAATTCTCGACCCCATCCAAATGCTGGTTCGTGCCAGGCACGCAGCGGTGGCACGCAGCTCAGTCCCTCTGTCCGTTTGTTGCCAGGCCTCGGCGAAGGGCTGTGCACGTTGTTTTGCTACTTTCGTGGTGGGCAGGATAAGAAACTGAGTCAGAGAGGAAGTGATTTGCCCAAGGTCTCATGGCAAGGCTGTGTCAGTGCCAAAGCAGGACCTCCTCTGACTCCGGTGCTGTGGCTGTGCGTGGACATGTCATACACCTGGTACTGACACAGAGATCACCGAGTCCACGCTGCTGCACGATTCCCTCTTCCTCCTTGGTAGAAAGAAGCTCCTGGGGCTGTGTCAGTTTGTTTTTTCTACGATAATTGCCATCCTCATTGGAGTTTGTTTTCCAGAGCATTCATACTCTAAACACTATAGAGTCTTTATTTTTTTTTTCCATGTATTTTGCCATTTCCGCTGTGTAAATGATGTGATCAGGGCCTCCTTGCCACCTTGACCTGTATCTTTGATACCTCCAAGATCCATTTTGTGATGTTCACTATTTTCTGTTATGATGTTGTAGGCGCCACTATGTCTGCCTCCCCCTGAAAGTCCCTTTCCTCTTTCTAGGTGCCTGCTAAAAAAATTTAAAAAAATGCAGCACCTGACTGAAATCTTACAAATTTAAAACCACAGATGCTCGGTTGAAGAAAGTGAAAAGTGATGCATTTTAAAACCCTCTGCCTTTTGCATGGTGTGGTGTTGGTTTGGGAAGGTTGCTGTCTTGCTGCTGTGTAACGGGACGAGCTGCCACGCCGGAGCCACCAGCTCTTTGCTCTTCCATGGCAGCTGCCAGGGATGCCCTGGAGTTAAACTGGGGTGCACCTCCAGCATAACGCAGCTCCACGGAGCTGTGCTTGGAATCTCCCAAGTCCAAGTGCATCTAGGCACCCAGATGGAGTGAAATCCTCCACGCTTGCTGCTCTGGCACGAAGAAATCTTTGCTTTTCCTTCTTGCTGCTCGTTCCTGTCGAGGTGCTTGGGGTGCTCCCCCTGCTCCCCCTCCCAGTGCTTCCCGTGCGAAGAGGTGTGCAAGGGAGCATTAGCTCTTGGTCCCCTCTTTGGGAGCACCGTCTGTGTCCTGGCACATGGCTGTTTCTCGTTGTTGTAGAGCTCTTTGTGGCTTCCCCTTGTCGTCTGCCTCTGGTTGACGAGTCCCAGGTACAAGGTGGCTCTGGGATTATTTTCTGTGTGCTGTCCCTTGTGCTGTCATAGCCAGTTGCATTGGGTTGAGCTGTTAAGAGTGGAACTTCAGCTGCTGGAGCGCTCTGGTATGTGCCCGTCTGCCCCTGAGGTCCAGATGTGTTCTTGCTGGGATTAGTTGTTTTTTCTAACTATTATGATAGGTTTTAAGCTGCTTGGGTCTAGCCATTTCCTGGGGATGGCATAGGCTGGCTTCCAGCTCTTAATTCCTTAGTGCTCGATCCAGTTTTGCATACCCTGGCTGATGGAGCTCCCATGCAGGCCTTTTCTAGGGGAGCAGGTCCCTGGTGGAAAAGTGTACTCGACAGAATTTGGCTGTTCCTGCCGAGAATCCACCAAAGGTGTGTTCACCTCTGAGCCCGAGCTGTCTCAACTGCTGCTTTCCGAAACTCCCTCTGATGGGGATTTTCTTCTGCTCCTGTGAAGACAGGCTGAGAGAGCTGGGGGTGTTCAGTCTGGAGACGAGAAGGCTCTGGGGAGACCTCTGTGCAGTCTGTCAGTACTTAAAAGGGTCTTATAAAAAGGATGGAGACGGATTCTTTCCTCAGGTAGATAATGACAGGACAAGGGGGAAGAGTCTTAAACTAAAAGAGAGATTTAGGTTAGGCATTAGGAGGGAGTTCTCCACTGTCAGGGTAGTGAGGCACTGGCACTGGCACAGGCTGCCCAGAGAAATTGGGGATGCCCCATTGCTGGAGGTGTTCAAGGTTTGGAGGAGGGTGGCATCCCTGCCCAGGGCAGGGGATTGGAGTTAGGTGATCTTTAATGCCCCTTCCAGCCCAAGCTAATCTCCGATTCTCTGCCTCTGCACCCCATGGGACCATCAGGGAGTGCTCTTCTCGTCACCTTCTCAATTTGAGGTCACTCTGGAGCCCTAACGGAGCTGGCTGGCTCTTTCTGCTGCTGTGTCTTCCCAGAGATGCTGACAAATTTGCTCTTCTGGCAAATCTAAATCTCAAAAAAATCTAACACTAACGCAGGATGGGCCTCAGCGTCCCTGGGCTCCACGGGGCTGAGCTTCCTTCTTCCCAGGAAGATGTGGACTGACGAACGCGGCTCCTGTTGATCTCACGTGTGATTCATCGTTTCCAGGAGGTGCAGGAGCTTTGGTACCGGCTTCAAGTGGTTTGTTGATCTCCGTGAGGCTGAAACTACCTCGTGAAAAGAGAAGTTTGTGGTGGCGATGGAGAGGTGGCAAAATGCATGCCTTGGAGCAGAGGGGCTGGGAAAGCAGTGCAGCTCAGTCGCTGCTCGGTTCTGCAATTTTCATCAGTTCTGAGCTGGGGGTGAGGCTGAGGATGGTAGGAAAAAAGCTGCCTTGTTTCTTCCTGCCTCGTGTTTTGGAGTTGTGTGCGACCTTCCAGTAGGCCTGCTGTGCTCCTCTGATTTGCGTTCCCTTCTGTGAGCGCTCCCCTGGGAAGCCCCGAGTGGATGCTACCCAAGAGCTGCTGCATGGAGGAGGGCAGAGATGTGCTCCTGCTGCTGTGTTTTGCCCTTCTTTAGCCTCTGCCTGGCACCAGCCACACCACATGGCGAGGACCAGAGGCACCCTTCCTTCTTCCATGGTGCGTGTTCCACATCATCCGCTTCACGCCGGGCAGCTCGCAGGAACGAGGAGCTGGTTTTCTCTCTCCCTGCCCGATTTTCTTTGAAACTCAGCTCCTCGTCAAAGGTGGGAAAGACTCAGGGGTTATTCTTCGAACTGGGACCAGTTCTCGCTGCTGTTTGTAGCTGCCACGGGGCCGTGCTCAGCAGGAGCACAGAGGAAGCAGCGTCACTGGCACCTGCTTTTGATTTAAGGCAAAGCCACGTTACGGAGGGGCTCCCTGCCAGGGGCCCTGCCTGCTCCTCGCCTCCTTGGCAAGCAGAGCGCTGCTCGTCAGTGCCCTGAGCCTTCTGGTCCCTGCTGTGGCTCCTTGCACTCCTGCTGCCTCCCTGGGGCACGCCGCCGGGCTCGTGCCTCTCCTGGCCTGGCAGGGCTGTCCTGGAGCTGGCTGTGACCCCTCTGCACAGCGGGGATGCTGGGGTGCACGGCTCGAAGGAACCTGTGCGGCCAGGCTGGGTGCAGCTCGAGGGATGAAGCCTCTCCCCACCACGGTCTCTGCCCTTCCAGAGCCCAGGTTTCCCGACGGAAGATGTCAGCTCCACGCTTTATCTTCCAAGACACGAGTCTGTTTTCTCAGGGTTCTGCTTCGAGGCTGACAGATTGAATTTCAGCTGTTCTCCACATGCCTTGCAAACTTTCCTCCTCTCAGGTCCCTCGCGTAGAAGCTGCGGACTTCACCTTTCAGTATGAGTGCCCTGTTCCCCTTTGGGCAAGGAGCAGCAAACAAGCTCCCTGTCCGACTGCTGGGTGTCCCCTGCCTTCAGGAGTCCCACAGACACTACAAGAACTGGGCTCGGCTTCCACCAGGAGCAGGATCTAGCTTTTTTGTGGGTTGTTTTGGTTTTTGTTGTTTTTTTTTTCCTTCCAGTTTGACACAAGACGCCTCGAATCCCAGCAAGGGGACGATGGGGGAGCCTCTTCTGATGCTCGGGGTAAAATATCCTCAAGATGGCTTTAAGACCGGGCTGT